ATGGAGAAAGGCTTCTCTCCCGTCGGACTCAGAGTTCTTGTGGTAGACGACGACCCAACCTGGCTCAAGATTCTCGAGAAAATGCTCAAGAAGTGTTCTTACGAAGGTCTCTTCTTCTTTTTTCTTATATTTCATTCCTCAACAAAATCTACCTGATATGTTTCCTTAATTAATATTTTCCATAATAAACTCTGTTTGCAGTCACTACCTGTGGTTTAGCTAGAGAAGCTCTCAAGTTGCTTCGAGAACGCAAAGACGGTTATGACATCGTGATCAGCGATGTCAACATGCCTGACATGGATGGCTTCAAGCTTCTTGAGCACGTTGGTCTTGAGTTGGACTTACCTGTCATAAGTGAGAACTTGTCTTCATCAAGAAAGCAAAAACAAAGAATCTTTTAATGAGTTGTTGTATATTTAAATCTTCTTGTTGCGATTACAGTGATGTCGGTTGACGGTGAGACCAGCAGAGTAATGAAAGGAGTTCAACACGGAGCTTGCGATTACCTGTTGAAGCCGATAAGAATGAAGGAGCTTAAGATCATATGGCAACATGTACTGAGAAAGAAGCTTCAAGAAGTGAGAGACATCGAAGGTTGTTATGAAGGATCCGGAGCTGATTGGATGACTCGGAACGAGGAAGTACATTTTCTTGGAGGAGGTGAAGATGTTTCTTTTGGTAAAAAGAGGAAAGACTTTGACTTTGAGAGGAAGCTTCTTCAGGATGAGAGTGACCCATCTTCTTCAAAGAAAGCAAGAGTGGTTTGGTCTTTTGAGCTTCACCAGAAGTTTGTCAACGCGGTTAACCAGATCGGATGCGATCACAGTAAGTACGTTGGGCGAGTTCGGTTTCATACCCTTCCCTAGCTCCCTTTTTAATCATGTCTTCATAGAGCCGTGATTTTTTCCGGTCTCTTTTGTTTGGCAGAAGCTGGTCCCAAGAAGATATTGGATCTCATGAATGTTCCATGGCTCACTAGGGAAAATGTCGCAAGCCACCTCCAGGTAAAACTTTACCTTCTCATTATTATTCAAAAGGGGAAGTGTAGATTATAAAG